TTACATAAAAAGTACTACATATCATATTACAATAATTAACAATTATTTGACACTTTCAATTCTATCAATGCCATATAAATTAGGATAAAAAAGGTAACATTTATATTCAAAAATAATCTAAGTAATACTATACATTACAATAATTAATAGCTTAAATTTTTGAAAGTTATATAACAAATTTAATTGACTCTCTAAATTCTATTGCTACCACATAAAATGGATTATATGATAAACATATATTGTTTGAAATTGACGAAAAATAAACTATAAATTACAATAATTAAAAAAAAAATTGTCGGCTCCAAAAAATCTATCAATTAAGAACATATATTGTTTCAAATTGACGAAAAAAAAACTATAAATTACAATAATTAACAAAAAAATTCTCTCGACTCCAACAAATCTATCAATTAATGCCACATAAATTGGGACATGGAAAATAACATATATTCTTTAAAAATTAAGTTCAAAATGTACTATAAAATACAATAATTAACAACTTAATATAGTAAAGAGACATATAAAAAATGGTTAATATTTGAAATTTTGCATGTGCCACATAAATTAGAACAAAGAGAGTAATAAATATTATTTTCAAAATTCTGTAAAAAAAAGGTACTACAAATCACAATAGCTAACAATTTAAAATATTTTTAGAATCATATAAAAATTTCAATAACTTCTCAAATTTCATAATATATGATATAAGAAGAGGGAATAACCAATATATTTATAAAAAGAAATGACATATAAAATGAAATGGACAGAGTATTAGTTTTTGAAAATGGAAAAGGACAAAACACATATAAAAAAAAAATTGGTTTAACTCTCAAACATAAAAAGTAACATATGTTATTAAAAACTTTAATAAAAAGTACTATAATTTACAATAAATAATAACTTAAAATATCTACAAGACAACAAAAAAAAGACTAATTTTTGTACTGCTTGTGTCACATAAATTAGGATTGGGATGATTTTAAAATTTTAATTTTGGTTATGCATTATAAAATAGCCGAAAAATTGAATGATATAATTTTTTTTAAAAATAACCGAATGAATCGTCCTATCGATAACCCTAATGTTACTTCTACTCTGTTGATTTTTACTTAAATTTAGAAAGATATGTTTCATTTCTACCCTCAATCTTATCGGTACATTTATTTGCTATTTGAAATTGAAATTAAAAAGACAAATGACAAATAAGTTTTTATATTAGCTCACTTATGAGCAAAATATATTATAACAATCTTTACTAATTTTATAACAATACATAAACTATACTCTCTCCGTCCCATATTAGATGGGCACTTCCAACTTTACACGGTGATTAAGAAATCATTAATACATTGGAAGACTTCACCATTTTACCCTTTGTTTATATCAATGCACATTGAAATGAGTTACAAAAAATACACATACGATATAGGAATGGTCATATTAATTGTAGGGTAAAATGGAAAAGAATTAATTAATTCTATCCTAATTTAATAAGTGCTCAAATAATATGAAATTTTTTTTTTTAGTAAGATTCTCATCTAATATGGGACGGAGAGAGTAACAATATAACTTTATTAATGTTGGGCCCGGGCAGCGCCCGGGCTTTCTTTACTAGTATAATATATAAATAGAAATGAGGGGGTATAACCTTTTTATTGTTGTCAAAAAAAATACAAAAATTACTGATGGCACTTTTATTTTATTTTTTTCGCTGCAATTTACTTTTACTTGTTATTGTAAAACAAAATTTTTTTCCTTTTATTCTTCTCCTTCTTTCTTCACGCCCCCCCCCCCAGAACTCTCTAAACCTAAAATCACTATAATTCTCCGAATTGGAAAATCTGAGCTGTCAGCTCTTAACGTATATGATTTGAGTTGTCTCTCTTTCTGAGTTCCCGGCGGCGTTGTGTTTGGTCTCGGTAAGCTTATTTTTGATCTTCAATTACCTGGGTTTCTAAATTAGTTATGTCGCAGCTCTGTGTCCATCTATTTAGTTGAGGTTCAAGTAGTGTAAAGTTTTTTTTTTGTTTGTTTGATAATTGTGGTGTCCTGGCTGGCTTGTGTGCACCTCGATTAATTTTACGAGATACCTATTACCTCCCAACAACAATCCACCAAGGCTGGGACTGGACAGATGAGAATAATCACCTAGTGTTTTTTGTCTCTCATGGGGAAGTAGTGTTTAATTATTGAGGAGAATGAAGTTCTCTGCATAGTATTTAAGGTTGGACATGAATCATACAAGGTGCTTGGATATTTCTATGTCACAACCTAGAGTACTTTCCTCCCATTTTTACAGTTATGATAAAATACTTTGTTGAGTAGATTAGGCAAATGATCCCAACTTTCCTTTTTTACCAATTGTCCATGTTTTGGATGGCATGTGTTATGACACACCGTTGAAACATCAGAATCAACAAGTTATGTGTCTGCCATAGAGATAGTAATAATAGTTAGATATTTTAATTGCTAAGACACTATTAAAAAAAACACTATAACTAATGGGGATTTTAAAAAGTTGGATTTTTTAATTGCTAACACTCTTAACTAATGGGGATTAAAAGTTGGATATGCTGGATACATAAGGATGCTGATGTAAGTCCCTTGCATGCTCATTTATGAAAGATGGTGCTCCATACTTAAGGCCTTCCAATTTTGTTGCTTCTTTTCGGCCCAATAACTAGTTGTGTGGCCTTGGGCCGAGGCAGGTTCATAACACTTACCGCCTTGACTCCTGACAGATCAAGTGTAATACCCTACATTGAGTAAGGTCATTTTTGTCTGTTGATTTTGTTTTTAAAAAGGAGAGGCCAGATTGTTGGTTTGTTTAAAAGAAAAAAAAGAATAGTGGGCTAAAGGCCCAAAGCAGCGAAGGGCTGCAGCAAATTAACGAAAAAAAAAGAAAGAAAGAGAGCAGGGAGTAGGGATTGGGAAATCAGCGTACAACAATAATAAAGGAAGAAAGCGATTTGAATAGATAGAGAAGAAAGAGAGGCAGTGCGAAGCAAGGGGGTATACGCAGAAAGAAGAGAAGGATTCAACAAATTTAAACAGGTTGAGGTAAATCGTATTCCTTTACACCTTCACCTTGATCCTTAAGAGCCTTGCCATGATCCTTAGTAGCTTTGCCATGAGAAATTCTTAGTCTATATAATATATTTCGGATGCTGAAGTTTTATTACCAGAGACAACGAGTTAGACAGTAAGTTGTAATTTGAGACAGAAGTAGATGAACAAGTTATGTAAATTGGCTGAAGTTAGGTGATCGTGCATCAATAAAATTACTTATGACCTAGGATAATTATAATTTAGCAATTTGATGGACAAGAAGATCCAAAAAGGGTTAAAAATCTTTATCTTAGTTTATGAATTAGCCTTAACAAGGAGATTAACTCGAAATTGATATGAATGTGTTTATAGATTGACTAAAGGAATTCGTACGGATTACTAGAGTGACGAGCTTGGTATTTCGACATGAGTACTGTGAGTAGTAATCTTACCACAATTTGTATTTCACAAATTTCATGATTTTTACATGGTTTTTAAAGTAAATGCGTTATCGATTGTTTTGAACTTGCATGTGGGACAAGTCTTTTAGTGGAAATGATACTGAAAAGATTATTTGAGATGATCTCATTCTTACAAGATATGATTACTGTTATTGAAAATGTTTTACACTTATCTGAGAAATAGTATTTTGACAGGTGATTGTTAAACTTTGAAATGATATGATTTGATAAGATTTAAATGCTCTGTTCAATTTTGAAATGCTTCTATTGAATTACAAGAAAAATATAAATGGGAGTAGACCTTGATGAATCTCGTAGCTAACGATGGGTACGTTAGACCTGGTGCACCTTGTAGTTATTGATTATTGATAAAGCCCTTGCTAGTGGGAAGGTACAACTAGTATACTATTACTGATATCCCTCGAGTAGGGATCTACTGATATGTATATTTAACTCTTTTATGAGGAGTTCACTGTTATTGGTTACTTCTTAAAGAGAAGGCCACATTGATTACATGATTCATCCTCGGAAACCTCCCAGCTATAAGATTTGATATGAAAATGTTTTTCTGAGTTTACTATTGAGTATTTACATTGATTTTGCTTATATGAGGCACATAAGATTGAGTATTGTTACCGTATCTGAAAAAGGCAGTGATTTTATCGTTTTGACGATCATACTAGCATGTTTTTTGACTTGTCCCTCACTAAAACGTTTGTGGTTAAGTGTTATTACTCACTGAGCTAGCGTCTCACTCCTCGCTAATTGTTTTTACAGAGAACTCAGGTGGTATTGAAGAGGATTTCATTAACTAGAAAGTGTGATTTGGTAGCATCTGGTGAGCCTTGCATTGCTTCGCGTGGCAAGAGAACTATTGATTTATTATGGTTTATTTAGTTTCTTTAAAAACTCTTAGAGTCGCTCCATTTGTCATTCCTTTTATTTGATTCATGATTAGCCCTTCGTATTGTAGTCAAGTGACTAGTTGGAACTTGTTTTTGTAATTTGGAGATGAATTGGGTTTATGGTGTGACAATTAGATCATTGAAGGATACTATGTTGTGGCTTATAGTTGCTATTGGTTGTGTTGTGAGTTTCTGAGACAGGAAAAATTCAGGATAGGCCTAAAAACAAAGGAAACTCTACCCGATTTTCTATAGATTTATGTTAAGGCTTTCTTTGGGAACGGACCTAATTCGGGTCGTGATATCAAGAGGGTTGGGAATATATAGCTACATTGTGATGTAACGCCAAACCCGTTTGCTTATAGGTCAAGGTCTAATTACGTTAATTTTATTTCGGAGTCTAAAGTACAAATAGTAACAAATATACTCAACTGGAATAGCACCAATATTAAGCATCATGGTGTTATTCTAAAGGACTGAGACTAACATTTTAAGCATTTAATTCTGCTTAAGTGTTTGTGTTACCTTCATTATAACCGAACCTGTGCACTATTTCTTTACTTGCTATCTTTTAATATGATATTTGTGCTACTTTCATTCTAATCGAACCTGTGTGCAGAGATTCTGTAGAATTGGTGATGACAAATGCACCAACTTCTAGAAGAGACAAAGAATCTTATAACAAAATGAACAAAAATAGTTTTAGTAATATGAGATGTCCACATTGCACCGGTCCTCTTTCTAAGGAGATGGTAAACAACTGATTCTTGTACTTTTTTTTTTAAAAAAATTTGTGTGTTTTTTCATCGTATTTCTGAGTGTTAATACAATGTTATATGTATGAGTAATTCTCTCATTCCATTGCAGGAGACAAGTGAGTGGACAGTTCCGCCTCTAATCCGGGATAGCTTTTCTATGGTTCGATATCAATGATTTACATTGACAATACTTTGTTTTTCCATTTCTTGAATGATAAAATCCGGTTCTCTCTTTATTTTATGGTGCACAATTTGAGTAGACCACTGGATTTGACAAATTCAATTGCATATGCATAGTGTAAAGCATTAGCAGTAAAAGAAAATTTGAAGAATTCATACTTTAAAAATTGGTTATAGTGGGAACATTGGTATTTGAAGTTGAATTGTTAAATAAATTTTAATTCTTGAATGTTGAAACTTATGACAGTTACATAAAATAAAAATACCAACAATTTTAGAGATGTGTTAAATGTTATCTGAATCCCACCCCCATTTAAAAAGTGTTTGATGAAATCGCCAGTAGAAAATCTATAGCATAAATTGGAACAGTTTTAAAAATTTTGCCTTAGCGGTTTGTATTTTATTACATTTTGATTTGTTACTAAATCTGCTTGTCCTAATTCATCTCCCCCACCTCCACCCCCACCCTTTTACTTAACTACTTCCCTGATATTTCAGATTGGTTCTGCAGTTGGTGGTACTACAAGTGCATTTTATGGCTTCAACCATGGTACATAGCAGTATTTTGGCCATCTTCCTTAGTTTCTTTTTGTATATGTATCCTTGCTTCTAACATGTTCTATGTATTTATACCCCCTTTCGGAGGTGAAATATTGTGTGTTGATTATAATTTGCTTTATATGTAGCAAAACGTATATTGGTGATTCTTATAGCCCACTTCAATTAGTTTGAATGAATATGTAGTTGTTGACTTGTTGTATAATCTTCTTCATATAGCAACCCAACCATGTTGTAACATGATGAAAGTAACTCTATGAAAATAAAATGGGAAGAATTTCTACATTATTCACTCACTGGTTCTATCACCTAAAACATTTCTCTCTTAGGGCTCGACAATAATATAATTACAACATGCCGTTTGGTTTACCTATATTATCTAATTGAAGATGCCAAAGATTTAATTTTGGTTCTGGAACTTTATTTTTGTATATCTGGAATGTCCTTATTTGCTTCTATATTTGTTTTCTTTACAATGTTCAGAAATTCCTGGGTCACTTAAACGTTCAATCTAAGTTTCAAATGTCTCCTTACCTTTTGAGGAATATGCCTCAAATTTCTGGGATTTCAGAGTTTGACTAATTATAATTACATTTCAAAGGAAATCCTTATTCTTAGTTTGGGAGGAACATGGAATGTCTTATTCCTTTAATGATAATCCAAGAAACTGGAAAATTCCATGTTCTGCTCTCTCTTTTTATAGAAATTGCCTTTGGCATCTCATAAGCTCCATTTACAAAGGTTTGGACTTTAATTTTGCATCTGGTTGGACATCTTATGTGATTTGAGGCTAATTAACATCAATTTTTCCTTATTGAGAAACTGCAAATTGATGGGATCTCGACATTCTCCTGCTGGTGTTCTTCTTTAAGAAGAGTATTTAAAGAAGCTCACATTTTTTAGCTTCATATAACTCCCTCCTAGGCTGTGGCAACTTTCTAATCATTGACCGTTTATCATGATTTAATCAGTTATAAAATCAAGTATCGCATAAATCTTGCCTATCACAGAAGAAAAGGAAAGGAACCGTCGAACTCTTAACAATTTAGTTGAACGTTTGCTGTTAAAAATTTTTTTTACTGTTGGTAATCTTCTTATTAGTAGTTAAGTACTGTTTAGTGCTTACAATGTACTTATCAAAGGATTTCTGACGAACACCACATGCACTAAAAATGTGTAAAAGATGAGCAAAGATCTTTGGTAGTATGCTGTTTCTATGTAAATCATTCTTCTGACTTCACAGAAGATGCATTTCTGGTTTCTATAGTAGTCAGAGGATAATGTATGCATGTCATGGAAGCATCTCTCGAGTCATTGAGCCTTTTTAATCAAGTTCATATCTCTACTGGAGCCTAAATACTATCTTTTTCCGACTTTATATGGCGGAATTTGTTTTTTTAATCAACATGTCAAATCTGAGATTATTCATTTATGTACAAATACTGTGCATAAATGTTTTTTTAATTGACCTGGTATCCGCGTTGATGTGAAATTGCGTCATATTAATGTTAACCAACATGTCTTGTCTCTATCTTATTCCTCAAATTCCTACTTGCAGTGATGCCGATTGTTAGAAGGTGGGTTAAAGGACCGATGTGGTTGCATTTCCTTGTTGGTGTAAGTTATTATTCTTTTCTTTTTTTTCTATTTCCTTAATATTGTGAGATACAAAGGGTATACTGTACAAGGAGGCTTAGTTGTAATGAATTCTCAATTTAGCTTATAGATGCTAGCATACATTGGAACTACAAATTCAAATGCACTAGGCTTCCATCTTATAAATTCGATATATTGTCAGCACTACCTCCGAGTCATAAATAATTTAGGCAATAGTAAAGCATATCTACATACATGACAAAAGTATCACAACTTGTGGGATTACAGTGGGTAGGTATGTTGTTGTTGTACTCCTATTCTCTGGTTGTTTCTAGTGCTCTTTTTCCTTGAATGGTTTTATTTTTGTTCAGTAGCTTTTTTCACAGACGGTTTAAATGTTGTTTTTGTAATTCTCTGTGTTGGGTTTATGCAGGCTCCTCCTGTGATTGTTTTCTCATCTGCATGTGCAGGGCTAGCAGGTTTGAACTTTACTTCTTCCAAGCGTTTACCTCCGTCTACTCTGTAAAATAACTTGCTTTTTGTTTTACCTATTATTGTTTCTAGATTGTATGCTCCTGACATGAGTAAATCTTGTATGTATTCCCTTAGTTTTTTCCATTTAACATTCTTTTCCATGGTTGAAACCTTGCAGGTGGTGCTGTTCCAGCATTTGCACAGCTAGCATCTTCGTCTTACCATGCTGCGATCTCATCTTCCACATTACCACCTACAGCCTCTCAAGATGAAAACATGAGAAAATCTAGAACTTCTTCAACTTTATAGCTTAAACACCAAGAGGAGATGCTTTTACTATCAGGAGTCCTGCATTTTGCGGGATCATCTCTTAGTTTGCAACAGTCTGTCCTCTCCTGTTTACTAGCTCCCGTTGTGTGGTGGATTTTTTTTTCCTTTGAAAATATATTACTTGTTCATGTAATGAGTTTGTTATTTTTGTAAATTCCAACCTTAATATCTCAGTGATGGAAGAAATTTTACACCGTTTTTTTAGGAAGTCGAGTGCGTGATAGTTTTCATAGCTCAAACAGGAATGTTTTGAGGAATTCTTTATCATGTTTTATTATATCAGCTGGGCACTTATTCTATTCTACAAGCCACACTGATTCAAGATGGAGTTTGAGAATGAAATATGAACAAATAATGAACGATTCTCATGGCAAAAACAAGAACGCTTGTACATCTTCATTTACCAGAGAAATTAGAATCTGCATGTTCTGCCATTGTTTCGAGTGAGACGAAATCAAATCAAAAAATTTAAAGAGAGAAAATTGGTATTCAATGGATCATCAATCTTGCTACAAGTAGATGCTTTGGATACAAGTTCTTGTGCATAGAACCGCATATTTTACAAAGTTGAAAGTCCAGCCTTATTCTTAAGCAACTCCATTTGGAACCTCAGTTACAGTCATCTTGCTAGTTATTCCAATTAACTTTTGAGTTTCCTCATCCATCACCACGTTATCCTTTTTCATCCTCTCTGCAACGATCATTGGCATCTTACCCGCATTCACATAAGTTCGGAGAAGTGCATTATATATCCCTGTATTCACATACTTAGCGTGTCGAAGGGTAACTAGCAATTGTTCTGCCACCTGAATGTCGCCCAGCTCTTCAACTACATGATACATCTCTCGAACCATCTTTGCATCTGGATCCCATTTTGAAACACTTGTAACAGTTTTTTTGAAAAATTCGAGAACTTTATCCATTTCCTTTTGCTTCAAATAACCCCGCGTAAGAAGCTCCCAAGTGGTGCAGCTAGGAGATATGCCTTTCTGCATCATTCTGTTGTGAAAATCGACAGCCTTTTCCATCTCATTTTTGTTAATGTAAGCAGCAAGAATTAAATTTGCAATCCTAGTATCCTTGGTCACAGAAACAGCTTCCCATTCAGTGAACAGATTCATTGCTTCTCCAAATTCATCCAGCTTCAGTAACGACGATATAATACAACTATATTCTGTATCATTCACTTTACGGAAGATTGACTTCATCTCCTTCCATATTCGGAAAACTTCATCCTTGTTCTGTAGATTTGTATGCAAACTGATGAGAGAAGCATATGCAGTTCGAGCCTTCCTGGAAATCTTTTTCTCCATTTCTCGCAAAGTTGAATTTGCCTTATCCTGAAGTGAGCTTTTAATGTAGATGTTGGTTAATGTGCTAAATGTTATCCAGTCAGGGTCCAATTTTGCCTTCTTTAGTTCAAGTAACGCTTTCTCTGCAGCTTCAATATTATTCTGTGATGCAAAAACTGTCTACTCCAGATTATATGTGACAATATCAGGAGAGGTATTTTTCTTCAATTCCTGAATCAGGTCTGGAACTTTCTCTAGTTGCCCTTGGGATATGTACAAGGTAAGCATATGATTATAAGGAAGAGGGTACTTCAAGAAACCACATTCGGACATTTTTTCCATCAAAGACTCAGCTTTAGCAGTGTCCTTATGCTGGACATAGGTGTGGAGAAGGGCAGTACAGGTGGTCTGGACCTTCAGTTTATCAGGTAGGTCTTCAAAAAACTTCTCCGCACTGTTCATACCACGGACTTTTGCAATCAAGTCCAAATGAACTGCATAGTCACCAGATAATAGTTGGATATCATCTTGTACCCTCATCCATTCACAAACCTGTAAACATAACCCCATTAACATTGCAGATTTCAATGCTATTAAAAGTGGCATGTCACCTTGCTTTTCAGAAAACTATGATTTTCTCACAAGGGATTTTTAGAAACTATGAGACACTTAAATCAAGAGCAAGGACAATAATTGATTTTAACAAAACTAGAACAAACAGTAGAAAAATAAAATGCATATTTGTATTAAGCTTTTACAACATGCATTCCGCTCATAACGGTTAGTGGTCATAGTTCGTATTAGCAATAATCTAAGGAATTCCAAGAGGCTTGAAGACTCTAGCAATTCCTTCTCTAGGGGAGGAAACCCTGTAGCAACTGGGGATACTATAAAAAGCAGTTACCTTCTCAATCATATGACACCGTTTCTGGGATTGGTAACTCCCTTGTTCAGAATCTAAGGTGGCATCGTGTACAATGACTTCGTATTCAGCAATTTAACCACATAGAATAATTCACTTGAATATTCAACAAAAGAAATGGATAATTTACAGTTCCTACCCTAGCCCATCCATCATTTGTAATTTTCATGGAAAATTATAGAAGTTAGGTAGAAAACAGTTGAAGAAAAAGTATTCCACAGTGCTGCAATACACTACCATTATAAGCCTAAGAAAGAAATGATTCAAAGTAAATCATGAAACAGTTAATGAGAAGAGACAGAAACCTCAAGGGCATGTTTATATCGTTTGTGTTTTCGTAACTCCCGCACGATGCGATTGAGCTCATACTTGCGGACAGGGTGCCCCTCTTCCTTCCACTTGCTTATAGCAATGACAGCACTACGTTTTGCATAGATCAAGCTCAAAAGCCTCCTCCTTAGCGTGTCTCTGCCACGAGTACTTGTGGCAGTACTAGTGCCACCTTCTAAACTAGTGGTAATGCTACTTCCACCTCCTGATCTTGTGGACTTCACTGTTGTCGCAGCTTCAGTCGATAAAGGACGAACAACGACATAAGATCTCCGAACCAAACGGAGCAACATTTCTATTATTAGCAAAGACACATTTTGTATTGCCTGCTTTGAAAGAAGATCGGACATGAGACAGCCATAAAAAGAAAAAAAGAAAAACAAGGCACATCTATAACACATTATTTTAAGAAATTTTTGAATCTTAAAATCATTGTAACAACAAATTAGACATCAAATGTACTTCACCACACTTTTCTTTTTTTATACGGGTCAACTTGCTTACACCTCGACAATTCCACCAGGTACAAGTTATTTCCCACCAGCACGTGTACCTAGAAACTCTGTCCATCACTTAGTGTTATTTGCTTCTACTAGAGCTGGAATTTGAACCTGAGACCTCATAATACTTCACCATATAGTCTAAATCAGTGACCTAGAATAATAGTAAATGTACTTTCAGACCTTATATACACCTCTTTCAATTTAGATTTTTAATACTACATTCATGACCTTAACTACTCTTTCTCAATTCCAGCTACACATTGCCCAATGATTCCCCAGCTTCAGCACAAAAAGCAAACTCTGTTGTATTTATTAAAATTCTAATCATTTCTCTTCCATAAAAGCTGCAAATTTCCACATTTTTCTGGTTTATTGTCATTTCGCCATTGTTAGCATAAAAACATGACTTTATCCTTTTAAGCACCAAATAAACTTTCATTTCTTCACTAACCCAGCACCAATCAGAGTTGTTAATGCACAAATACATGCTACAAAATTGAACTGAATGAAAGAACTTAGGCTTATCAAGGAAATACGGTAATTAAAAAATGATAAACAATCAGAATTCAGAAGAAAACAGACCTACTGTGCGAGTGATTTGCAATGTCAATTTACTCGCCGGCGAGAGAATTAGGGTTTAGGGTTTAACACTTCAACCTCCGGTGTTCATTTCGGATTTTCTACTTGGGCTCACGAAAGAACAATTTCAAATATTTAGTCATTTAAATTTGCTAAAGTGTACCAACTTTCATCAATCCGTTTGCTCCCCTAAAAAAAAAGAGTTCGATCCATCTTTTTGTGCTCAAATACTAAGCTCAATCATTACAAATACTTTTAGGGGTCGTTTGGTGTGAGGGATAATACCAAATAGTCCCGGGATTAAATTATAGTACCGCTTATTTTGTTGTTTGGTTGGCAAGTTCGGGATAACTTATCCCGGGATTAATAATTAGTACCGGGATAAGTTTTGCCTCTCCTTGGGTGGTAGAGTAATCCCGGGATAAAATAGGTAAATGACAAAAATGTCACTTTCAACCCTTTTGTTATATCACTTTTTACATTAATGAAGGACATTTTTGTAAACAAATAAATTGTTCTTAAATTTTATTATTTGAATACAACAAACCAAACACTCAATAAAAAATAATCCCAACACAACTTATCCCATCATAACTAATCCCAACATAACTTGTCCCAACATAACTTATCCCATCATAACTCATTTTCAAACCAAACGACCCCTAGGGATCGTTTGGTAGAGTGTATTAAGAAATATAATGTATGCATTAGATGTGTATATTAACAATACTTTGTTTGGTACACTTTTTCATGTCATGTATAACTAATGCAAGAAATTTTAGGTATTAGTAATACATAGCATTTTAACACTTGCATTAGATTAAATAATTACAAAACTATCCTTAAAATCTTTTCATTTTCTTTGTTGTCATAAGTTTTTATTTTATGTTGATTTGCTTTTTAGTGTCTTTTAATTTATTGGTGTCTTAATAGGCTTTATGGCCTCTTAAGTATCTTTTTTTTTCGAATTTCAATATAATTTAATCAAATATTTTATTATTGTGACGATAAATTTTAAGCAGCCCACTGTCTCACCCCAACTTATTAACTCAAAAAAACAAAACTTATTCTTTTTTCACATCCGTTCTACTTTTCTTAATTAGTAGTACATAAATTCATCCTTAAAATATGATTAAAAAAATGAAGGTAGAATTTTTTGTTGTAAAAGAATCTGATCTTAGTTGATTTATCTTAATAGCCAAGTAATAATTAGATGTGAACAAGTAAATTTTTTCTTGAGTTGATTGCATTACTTTCCTGTATTTTATTAGTATTTGATGACAACCTAAATGCTTTGTTTTCAATGTAGACAAAAAAAATTCTTTACCAATTTTTCACAAAAATATTTTGAGGCAATAGTATAACTATTTAATATTATTTTTTTTAAAGAAAAGAAAAAAAGAATAAAGAGTTAATGATGTTTAGCAAAGAAATATTTTTTGATGTTTTAGCAAATAACTTTGTTGCAAAGGAAGTGTACAAATAAATAAAGTGTGAAGGGTATTTTTGTAAACATATATTTTTTTAATAGAAATTATGCAAGATTTGTCATTTCTAATACATCAAACCAAACAATGTATAAGAAATAATACTTGCATAACTAATGCAGGCATTACTAATGCAAGCACTACTAATGCAAGCACTACTAATGCACCCTATTTTGCATTATTTTTATACA